TTTGCAAATACTGGAACATTGTTGGGTTGAAACTCATCATTCTAACTTGAATTTCTTCAGAATCCAGAGTTCTGTGTGCATGCCCACACATGCACGTAAGCACACTTAAAAATCATGATCAGTCTTATTTTTTACTGTCTTTGAAATACAGTACGTTTATATTTATTTGTAGTGGCCAAGTATTTATGAGAGATTAGTAGTAAATGGGACTGTGTGTGTGTGTGTGTGTGTGTGTGCGTGTGTGCACACGCGCACGTTGGGAGGGAGACTCAAGAATGTCATAAGTTGTCCTAATATCAGAACAACTTTACCAGTATCACAGTTCCTCCATGGACTGAAGACTCCTGAGATATATTGCTCCACATAAATGCAGCCAATCAGCTTATCAAGCTTTTTACCCTTGTTTTGCTTGGTTGTATGTACTAATAAAAAGGTACCATGATTCCCTGTCTGAATACTATGCATTCTAATGTGTAGGAAAGATTGAGGGATTTATCTAGTAGTCAGTTTCCTTCAACACTTACCACATGGTAAGGTTAAGTTGCTTGCCTGTATTTAGCCCTGTGCTGATGTCAACTGCATTTCTCGCAAATTTGTGCTGCAATCTCCTACTTTCCCTCTCCTGGGCTTCTGTGCTCTGACCCCAGCTGCTCTTTGCCACAAACAAGTTCCTTTTCAGAGTTTTGACAGCCTCCCTCTTTCATGTGAGGAACTAAAGAGGTGCCTGTCCGAAACCTGGAGCTGCTCAAGGTGCATAAGAAGAATGAGGTCAAAGTTGTTTCCAAGGAGACAGACCTCTACGTAAATAACTAGTTTGCCTCCATTCCCTGCCTGCAAATAATCACACAACACTTTGAGTTGGCCAATCAGGATCAAAGTTATCCCATCTAGAATTCACTTACTATTCCTTCTTGCTCCTAAACCCCTACCTGGGGTTAATTTCAGCTGGGGCCATTTGCTAGTCCTGCTGTTGAAAGGTGACTTCTGACAAGCAAACACATCTCAAATTATGCCTACCTGTCACCCTCTGATTTACCAGTTCAACTCTGTGCCAAAATTGTCCTTTAAAACCAATGCAGTGTAGTGGTTAGAGTTCAAATCCTCACACATCCATGAAGCTCACTGGATGACCTTGGAGACGGTCACTGTCCCTTAGCCGAACCTACCTCACAGGGTTGTTGTGAGGATAAAATGGGGAGGAGGAGAACCATGTACACCACACTGTAAGGTCTGAAACAGGATACTGGCATGTGAACATATTCTATATCCCCTTGTTCCTCGTTATTCATAAAGTCCCTAGAGTTGTTAGTTGCTGTACAGCAGGGACTGGGAACCATTTTCAGCCTCAGAACAGATCTCCTTCTGAGCAATTGTCCGGGGCCCTCAGGCCAGTCATGGGCAAGGCCAGAGGTGAAAGCAGGCGGAGGAAAGAATGAGAATCTTACTTTTGTACAGTAGGCTAGTTCCTCTACTCACTCACTCCTTTCTTACCATCCTCTATCAAGACAAGCAATAGCATTCAAGGACACATTCCAGCCAGGCAAAAACACTAAACAAATGTTCAAAATACCAGGACAAAGTAGGGCCAGTGAGAGGGTCAAGCTGGGGAGAGGGGATGTGACCTGAGGAGAGTCCTGAGGCCAGGCAGAGGGTCTTGGAAGAGCCACATTTATTCCCTGGGCCTGAGGTGCCCCATCCCTGCTGCACAGCTAGAGAGCTGCTTTAGGCTGTACTATCTCAAATGAAGCTCTCTGCAGCACTTTCTCAGGACTGACTCCAGGGCTTAAGAGTCACTGGCCCAAGTAGCTCCATGTGGGCTGCCTCCTCTGTCAGCGTACCTTGGAAGGCTGATCTGGCCGTGGTGGCAGTGCACTAAGGAGCACCAGGTGGGGTTTGTGCCCAGCCACCCTTTACATTTCCCATCATGCCCCACACTCAGGGGTGCGGTGGCAAATTAAAAGGATGGCTAGATCCAAGTGCTATAACTGGGGCAGGGGAATTAAGTAGGCCCTCTCAGGGCCTAGGATTGCAGCTGCCCTGCTCTTCATCTGAAGGGACTTCTGACAGAATCAGCAATCCCTCTTTTTGTTGCCATTGTTAGCATTTATTTCATTTATGAGTCACTTCCTGTGAGGCACCCTGAAGCAATATACAACACAGCATTTTTGTTTGTTTTCAGAGTGCATGGGAATGGCTTCTCCTGAGGGTTGCTTTCCCCATCCCATGATTTCTCACCTCAGAGTCCAGATGAGGGGAGGTTAAATATATGTGGGGAAAACCAGTTGTTGAGTAATCTGTTTCAGCCAAGAGCAGGAGAACCCTGGTTTGAGTGACGTGAGTGCCCACCTCCTTCATTTGTAGGAGTTTTCCTGGAAGCTTTTTATATCCAGCTGTGAGCCACGGCTTGCCTAAAAACACAGGAAAGAGCTTTGGCCTTCTACAGAGGCTGCCCACGGGCAAGTGCCGTGTGTGGTCCACTCTCCCAAGCCCAGCAGGCCGGAAGTGCTGGATTTTCCTTGCTTCCTTGCCCGCCGTGCTAATCCCCAGGCTTCTGAGAAAGCTCTTCATGTTCCCAGTGCTCTCACTAGCCTTCATCGAGCAGCACCCTGACGGCCGAGCTGCAGAGATGCAACGGCCAGGTGGAAAAGAACAAGATCTGCTCTTGTTGCAGCCTTGGCACAGGGCTCCTGGGTTGGGCCCGCCTAGTGAGATCGGCGTCCGTTGCCAAAGGAGAAAAGTGTCCGCTGGTGCTCCACAAGGGCTTGTAAATATTCCAAGCTGAAAGATATTAAGTGCTAGCTTCTTTACCATTAAAATCACCACTTGGAAGTGAACGTTAACAGCTCATTTACTGCAACAGTTGAGGCCAAGAGCTTCAGATCGATTTTTTGAAATCCATGCTTCTGGAGTCCCTCTCTCTCACACAGGCTGATCTAGGGGCACAGAGTTTCTGGGGTACCACAGCAGGTGCCTCAACTATCCAATGGAAGGCAAAAGGTGGGGTGGACTGCTAGATATTGGCACCACACAGGGCGCCACTGAAATTTGAGACACCAAGATCCGCCACAGCACACCCTCCCACTTTGGTTGCTAACATGCAGGAGAGATTTCTCCTTCCTCTAGATCTCTTGTTGGATTCCCTTTTCTGGACCAGACATGCTCAAAATCTTCTGCACTGAATCTTCAGGCAATAGGTTTCCAGACACTTGGACATGGCATTGTAGAGCTAACATATCATCTACAATACTCACATTAGGTATTGTGTGTGTGTGTCCTGTTGTGGTCTCCCAAGCTACCATTCGAGTTCCTCTAGAGACCCTGGATGTACAGGCAGCACAGCTGCAATGGACATATGTATGGCTTTGTTTGGCGCCTGTAGGCCACTCCCTCTCTCTGATGCAATCCTTCTCTCAATTTGCTGTCCACAGAGCTGTCCTACCACAAGGTACAACCGCTTAAACACAAGGGGCCTTAATCCCCTTGAAGGACAGGATTTCTATGGGCCAGAAGGGCACCCACCCACAAGGCTAGGGCACTGCAATCTCTCCAAGCTTTATAGAAATAAGGGGGAAAGAACAAGAGGTGGCCAAGTACCTTTGCAAAAAAAAAAAAAAAAATTCTTCACACCATTCCTTTCTCCTCCAGGTACTTTTAGAAGCTGGAAGGATGACCGAATTGTATGGCCTCAAGGCTGTGAGTGGTGTGAGAGGGAGGAGGTGATGCCCAACCTGGCAAGCCCTTCCCTGCCTTTCTTGAGTCAATCCCTTTCTTCATTAACTCCAATACAGGCTTCTTCCAGAGTTTAAGCCAGCAGGACAACTTTGCTGGAATCCAGCCCACTGGCAAAGTTGCAGATCGCAGTAGGACTGGCAGATAGGAGTTTGGGAGTTCAGCAGGGCTGAGGAAAGAGCTTTCCTGCCACCTAGTGGCTTCTGGATAAAAATCATAGTACCAAGAGAAATTGAAGTGGTCTATTGAACACAAAAAAAAATAAATACCGTAAATCCCTGGGAGGAGTAACCTTCTGGTAAACAAACTGCCAATCTTGCCGCACTTTACCTTTTGCTTGACTCTGTAGCTTTTCTCTTCCTCTGCCAAAAGGAGTAAAGATTACACCTGTAATCTTTGACATTGATCATATGCCACACTTTTACTCCATACATGAAAAATCTTTTCTAGCATGGTAGCGATTTTCTGGAACTCTGTTTGTATCAGGCACACACCTCTGTTGCAGTTTTTTAATGCCTGCTTGTGTGCATTTTTTTATTATTTTACTGAATATTTTATACCACTTCTGTAAGCCTCTTAAGACTTTTTTTTTGTTATATGAACGCTGCTAAATAAATAAAAGGCATGTTGACATCAAGATACTAGGTGTCAGTTGGCAAACTCTTATATCTGAACTTGGAGTTACAGATGTTATTATATATTTGCTTTGCAACTACCTTAACAAAAATAGTTTTTAATTCTATTTATTTTGCTCCTATTGGACTGCGCACAAACTATTTCTGGGAAATACCTGTCTTCCCCAAATATATAATGCGCAGAAGGAAACCTGAAGTTTATAGAAGTTTTCTAGGGGGCTTTCGGAACAAGCACACTCAGCATCAGGTTGGAGTTTGCGATCTGAGCTGCTCAAGACAGACTCAGTACCTGGAGAGGCTAAGCAGGAGCAACGGGAGGCGTAAGTTGCCCCTACTCGGGTGGATTTCCCGGGAGCAGAGGCTCAGTGGTGCAAAAAGGGGTTTCCCCACACCAGAATTTGCCTTAAAGACACCTTAAAGAAGGAATTTAGGGGAGAACCTCAGCGCAAAGGAGCGAGACCACCCTCCGGTGCCTTCGCCTCCAGACCCCATGAGCTCGTGCTGGACTCTCCAGTAAGATATTGACACAAATTCAAGGAGCATCCCCCACCCCTAAATATATACAGTGATAAATGTGTAGATCAACATTTTCTATATAAATACAATAAAAATGTCAGAATAAACATAGTTTGATATATATATATATATATTTATTATTTCACATATGTTGCAAATCAGACTGAGGAGGCAGCTCTGCCCTCTGAGCTGAAGTGGTTATAATTGCAGCCAAGTTCTGCAGGAATTCTAAGGCAGCAGGTGGTTCTGGGTCCCTGCAACAAAGCACTAAGGGCATGAGCAGCCTAGATATAGAGAGGGGCCATGAAGGGGTTTGGGCTGGTGATGGGGCAGGAGGATATGCCGCATGTGGGTTCCTCACAACGGAGGCAAGAAAAGACCCAGAAGCTGGAAATGCCCTCATGGGAGTGAAGAGTATGATATAGACAGGAAGGAATGAGAGCACATGGAAGAACTGTAGAACAGGCATAGGCAAACTCAGCCCTCCCTCCAGATGTTTTGGGACTACAACTCCCATCATCCCTGACCACTGGTCCTGTTAGCTAGGGATGATGGGAGCTGTAGTCCCAAAACATCTGAAGGGCCGAGTTTGCCTATGCCTGCTGTAGAATCTGAACTCACTACTGTTCCATTTTGAAAAATCCAATTTGGCTGCATCTCACCTAAGCATCTCCTTTCCATTAAGTGGCCTGGGTTGTACATAGCTGGCTTGAATGTACCCTTCAGAAAACTCCCATTTTACATTCTCAAATGGGTGAAGAATTAAGCAGCATGACTAAGGGCTAGACAAGTGAAGAATGCAGCATGGGAATTTGGCATCCAGAACATTTTCAGTTTTCTTTTGGCAAATTTTAAAGAGAGATGGGGGAAGAGATTAACTTGGGAGTGCATTGGCAGTGTTTGGAGAAGCCTGCACATGGAAGTGGCAGAGTAGGGCTTCTAACCCTTATGCCTTCAGCACATGTCTCTGTATCCTGCTCTCAGAGGTACTTGACCTCAGCCCTGAATGGCTACACAAAACCCTCACATCCATGTTTTGTTTTATCTGCCTCTGACCTTACTGGGGCATCCTAACCCTCTCAAAATCTCAGAAACAGAATTTATGCAAAGCAGACTCCCATTTTCTTAATCTGCCCAGTTTATCTCAGGACACCAAATTCAGAACCCTTTTCAGGAGCCAGACATGAGGTATGACTTGGGCCAAGTGCTACCTATTACAGGTGCAATCCAAAGAAGAACCTCCCTACCACTAGCATCAGGTATTACAACTGACACCAAAATGAGGCAACTGCAATGTTTGTGTATCAAGCAATAACTCAGGTGGCTTTGAAGATCTTCCCTTTCCCCATCTCATACAGCTTTGCTATATTAGGACTCTACCACACCCCACTTTTCTCAATGACGTTTTTAACGGGGAGTGGAGATTCTGATCCATGCTAAAGTAGCACCAAAGGCTGGCAGTTGTTCTGTACTAGTAAATCCAAAGAGAGGCAGCCATTTTGGGAACACTTCGCAGTAGAAAACCAATCCTGCCTCAGGCTGCCTACAGTGCTGGGCTGGAAGGCTTGCAGAGGGCTGGAACTGCAATTAAGTGGGGATCTTTGTCCTCACCACAGGAAACCAATGGAGAGGTATAAGAATGAAAGAGGCAGCGCTGAATTCAACTACACTGTAGCCATTAGCATTAATGAGCAATCTAAGAGCAACACACTCCCCAATTTGTATCTATTTTTCCACTCAGAAGAAGGGAAAAGCTAAAAGCATAAAAAGGACTTGGCCAAGGCGACAGAGCAAGTCAGAGGCAGGCATGGGAACGGTCCTCAGAACAAGGGACTTCACCCTTTGCTTAGGCTAATCTGTGGATTTACTATATGGTTTTAAAACTATTGTCAGAGTGCTTCCACAAGGCTTGTAATGATTAGGCAAGCCTGTGCTTACAAATCCAGCAAGAAAGCAGTACCAGGTGCTCCCAGCTGTCACTAACCCATCAGGTGCAAGGAGCCAGAATCCTTCATTCTTAACTTCTTGATCCTTTCACCTGTTAGGGGTACTGCATCAAGTTCATGTGACACTCGAGGCAGCCTGCGGGGTCCTCCTCAACTCTTGAATGATTTGGTTTTGCTTTTTAAAAAGGGTTCTTGCCCAAACATGTAACAATGAGATTGAAAGCACTGCCACAGCTGTGATGTTTTCTCGTTTTGAAAATTTGGCTTTTAAAAGCGTGAATTACTTATTCTGAGCACTGGGTCCCAACGATGCAAGACCTCTGATGCTTTGGGTACCTGAAGAAACGTGAAGTTATCCAAAGCCCTCTTCTTTCACCAGTGTGCATGCAAGTATCAAGGAGGCCGCAGTGCAGTTCCGAAGAGACCAGCGTGCAAACAGATAACTCTCTCCCACTAATGCCAAACTGCTGCAGTTCAGTGGTAGACAGTGTCTGCTTTGCATGCAGAAAGTGTCAGGTGCAATCCCCAGCATCTCCTAGTAAAAGTGAGGATATATTTGGAGAGCCACACTGCCAGTTAGTGGAGAAATGCTGAGCTAGATGGACCAAGGCAGTTTCCTATGTTCCTGTGCCTCCAACTTCCATGGATGTTCTGTGCAAAGCGAGAATGGTGGCACTTGTGGGGGCCTGTTATTGGTCTTGGCAAATCACTGATTTTACCACCCTTCTGGCACCAGCTCTGGAGGTCATGCCATCACTTCAGAAAACTCTTTGAGAGTTAAATTAAGGACCCAGATCCCTTTCCATCCTGCCACCGAGTTTACTGGAGAAAAGCAGAGCAGGGGATCTTGCAATGCTCAGAGCGGCGAGAGAACAAGCGAGATTTCTGTGCAATATCCAAATGGCCAGTAGCCAGTGAGTACGGAGATGCCAACCTTTGAGAAGAAGCAACACAACCCCACCCCTGCCTCCTTTTGATAACTGTGAAGGCAGGCCGGCCCCCTCCTGGCAAAGGGTATAGCTACACTAAAGTCTGCATGCAATGGCCCAACATGCACCCATGCGCTTCTCTCACTACCCCGACAAGCCACACTCACACAGCAGGATAAGAACTGTTCCTTCTCTGCCCAGCTCCCATAGAAGAGCTTTTTGATCCCCCTAAATAAGTGATGTAAGGGAGCTTAAATCACAGGGTACCGGCTGAGTCTGTTTCATGGAGGGGAGAAAAGGAAGCAGGCTCTGAGCTTGGGAATGAGGAGGTGAGAGGAAGAAATAGGGATAATGGGCCATCCTAGGTCAGTCAGCCAGACGTAAGGGAGGCACTTGGGGCAGCCCAGTCCAAGAGCGTCGTCTCAGCAAACGCCTGTCTCTTCTTTAGCCGCACATTGTGAACATCAGCCACTGTGAGGGAAGGAAAGCAAGAGTGAATACACTTGTGAGGGCCCAGAAGGTAGATGAAGAACTGGACCATAAACTGCTCCCCGTACCACCTCAATCTGACTCAGGCGTGGCTCAAGATATTTGGCTACCTGAGGCAAAGAACAAGATGCTACCCTCCCCAATGAACTCTGCTGGATTGGCAGTTGAATCTTACTTTAATACTGTCCTCCCCCACGTCTGAGGACAATAGACTAGATGAGGAGTTGCAGAACAGGCTTCCAGCAGAAGGGCATAGCTAAGGGACACAGCAGGAACAGCCAGAGAGCTGCCTCCACTGTCTCCCTACATTTATTAGCTGTCTGAGACTAGCGCCTCACTTTGCCATCAAACTAACAAGGCACAAGGCCTTGGACCTTTCTAATCTCTTCCTCCTTTACTCTCCATTTTCAACCCATCACCAAAACACAATGGTTCTCTCCACACAACATGGCAAAAACATGGGCTCTTCCTCTTCATTCCTGCCACTTCTCCCTGTCTAGCCTTCTGCTGTCGACCTTCTCATCCCTTCCAATTTCCCAGTGGCCAACCTTTCCAATGAATAGTTTGGTGCAATCAATTAAGTGCCCTCCACACATTTGACGCATGACAGGAGCTCTGAAAGGGACAGCAGGGCTGCAATATTGTGAACGCACTTTCTGCCACCTTTCAAGTCCTGCCTCAGTTTTCTTACCTCGCCGAGGTTCATCACAGCACTCCCACTGCCTTCGGGATCCAGGCTATTGAAGAATCCTGCAGAGTTTTAAGAGAAAACACAAGGTGATCAGTCACGGAAAGGACTTCTGCTCCATCTGTTCTCATCAAGATGGTCCCTAAGGAAACTTACAAATAAAGGCTGGAGCAATCAAGATCCTTTTAAATTGATGTCTAAAATACAAAACAAGTAGCCACTATACAAACAAAAGGGATGGAGCTCCACAGGCAGACCACCACTTCCGAAATGGCCTGTCCAAGGATGCCTGGAATTGGGCCTCAGCTAAATCTAGTAAGCACTGAACTGATCTTCAATGGCTTGTAGGCACAATGAATATTAAAAATGCCTACTCAACACATTTCCTTGCCTGTTGATTTTTCTTGATGCATCGAGGCCTGCTGGCCATAGTTAAAATATCCTTCTTGTCATAGCGGTGAGCTATACGTGGCTCTTGGCTTCTGACTTATCATGTTCCTACCTAAACCCTGTCAAAAGGAGACTTGCCCTTCAAAACCTGGCAAGGAGTTGGTACACTGAGAATCTGTTGTATACCAGGAATCAGGATATGCTACATCCTTAGGCGAAACACTATCACACTTCAAAAGCCAAGAGGGGCTCAAATTGATCCTCACTGTTGGCAGAATGTCCATTACAGCAGAAACACTGACAAGCCAAGTGTGTGGGGTGTTATGTCCCCTCTGAGTCCATATAACCATCATGAGAGGAAAGTGATAACCTCTAAGATAATATCTAAGGCCTACCACAAGCCGCAGCCTGGCTACTGCCTCCCCTTTTCTCTCAAGGAGAAACCCAGCTGAAATTGACAAGGAGTGATAGCCGTGTAGTTGTTACCTACACCCCAAGAGTAGTTTGACTGGGATAGCCATTTTACACAACCAACTGCCACCAATAGAGAAATACGAGTGTGTGCACTTCAGACCTAAAGGCATGTTCCTACATGCCGTTGGGCAGATTGCCCAGGGAGATGGCTCCCTTCTCAGGCCCAGCTCCAGAACCACTTACTGAACATCGTCTCCAACTTGACTAAGCAACAGACAAAGTTATCAAAGTCCACGCCCAATGACTCGTCAGCATAACGTGCCACCACCACTTGGTGCAACTTGTTGTCCAGTTTGAAGCCTAAAAAGGTAGAAATGGGAGTGATAAACCAGCTTGAAAGAAATTGAGGCCTTCTCTGCCTTAAGGGTCAGCATAAGGGTCAAGGCCAGAAAAAACAGTTTAATATTTACTACTCCCCCCCCCCCCGCAGAGGTGGAGGGAAGACTGTGAAACTTGGCTTGTGAAGAGAATAAGGCACAGGACCATCTTTGGTTGATTGTATTGGTCTAAGATTGCACCTATATTTACCACAAATATGTTGCCAAATGTCCTTCCTGAATTAAATAAAAAAGAAAAGAATTTTCTCTCTCAAGTCACAGAATATTTTTTTTCTACCCATGTGCAGTTCTGATGAATGCTGCCAAATCCAAAGCTTTTCCAGTAGGGGTATGGCACTAGAAACAAAAGGCCGAACTGTTTCCACACAGGAAGTCTGAGAAGAAGGACCATCACTCCTCCTCAGATGGCATTATTTAGTGGTTCTGTGTTCAGATTCTGAGATTCTGAGAAATTAATTCTGTCTCCCCCCCCCCCAGCAAAAAAAAAGCACTGGATAGCAATTAGAAAATAATGCTATTGTATGAGACTGGCATGGATTCAGACTACATAGCACAGTCAAAATGTCAGGGTCTGCAGTCGATAAGGACCCCAGCAACCCACCAGCAAAATGTTTGGAAACATCCCCTTCCATGCTTACCACATGTTTCCAAAGCCAGGCGCATCTCGTAAGAGCTCATAGTGCCTGACTTGTCCAGGTCATGCTGGCGAAAGACATTCTGTCATGATAGAGAAAGAAGATGATGCTGAGATTCTGCTTTCTCCACACACACTCCCTTGCCATCCTTAAGCCCCTTCCTCCCACCAAAGATTCTGTTGAGCACATCTCTCTCTCTCTCTCTCTCTCTCTCTCTCTCTCTCACACACACACACACACACACACACACAACACAAAAGCCAAGCCTGCTTCTCTTACCAGCCAGGTCCTAATCTTGTTCCACAAAATCTGAAACTCCACAAGGCCCAGGCGAGCACTGCCATCTTTCTGAAGAGCAGAAGAGTCAAGGGAAGACATTATGTGCAAAAAGGAGGACTTCTAATCGCAAAGTATTGGGGAGCGAGTTGAATAGAGGAGGAAGGGGTAAGCTCATTAACTGCTCAACATGGCAGAAGATAGAAACAAGAAGCCTAGAGATAGTGTTGGCTGGATTCCAGGTTCACCTCACCCACCCTTGTCTTCCAGTTGGACACAAGACAGCCTAATGCTTTTGCAGTTATCAGTGCCACACGTCTGCCAGCTTGGAGCGGCTGCACTTCTGAACTGCTCTGTACAATTGAGTGAATCACTCTATTTAAGCGAGAATAGCAGGTATGCACAGCTAGGAATTGTGTACTAGGCCACAATGACACTGAGTGAATGAGATACACACACACACACACACACCTTCACTTCCAAAAAATAAAGAAGAGGGGGAACGTGAAATGAAAAGTGAAGTAGAAGAGAGGGGAAAGAAAATTCACATAATGATAGTATTCTATTTTAGCAAGAAAGGGCTAGCAACAGAAAACTTTTCTCCATATTTTTCATTCCAGTACTGAAAAAACAAGGCCCATCTACATCTAGCGAAGATTTTAAGTGGATTTCAAGAAAAAAGGATGTGGCAGCAACAGAAGAGATGGGCATATGTTGGCAACAGGAGTGGGAAACCTGATTTTTAAAAAATGTATTAAATAAAATTAATTAAGTTTTATTTGTACAGTGGTACCTCAGGTTACAAACTTAATTCGTTCCGGAGGTCCGTTCTTAACCCGAAACTGTTTTTAACCTGAGGTGCACTTTCGCTAATGGGGCCTCCTGCTGCTGCCAGCGCACAATTTCCATTCTCATCCTGGGGCAAAGTTCTCAACCTGAGGTACTACTTCCGGGTTAGTGGAGTTTGTAACCCAAAGTGTTTGTAACCCAAGTTACCACTGTATTAATTTGGAAAACTAATAAAAATAATTTGGAAAAGAAAGAAAGAAAAAACAAGGCCCATCTCATGGTACATTTATCTTGTTGGCTTGACACATTGAAGTGTCTAATGTAAGCACAATCAGACAACTGGCTCCAAAGCACAGCTCACAACACACACACTAATTACACAAATGTATGAAGAGGGGCATTGCAACAAAATACAGTTGCCTAATACACTTCTGTGAGCAGTGGGGCCATGAGCAAGCCAGAGAATCTGCATTTAACTAACACAGATCGGCTCCCACAATATCCTAAAAATTGCAAGTTACAAGAAGTCTCTGGCCTGCTATAGGGCTAGGACAAACTATACACAGAGAGGCTGCACAATCGCAAGCAACCGCCTGCCTACAACTAAGAGGAATAAAGAGGCAACTACCTCAAAAGTTGTCCTACTCTGCTTTCGTAAATGATGAACACATCATGAGGCCACAGGCCTCCTATTCCTTCACATAGGTAATGGTATACACAACTCCCATCCCTGACCAAAAGCCATGCTGGCAGGAGCTGATGGAAGCTGTAGTACAATATCTAAAGGGAACCATGCTAGCATCTAAGAGGCTCTTCTCTCCCTCCTCACATCTACTTGGAGAAAACAAACCACAATTCCTTGCTTTTTGGTATTTCCAAATCAGTAAGCTAAGCACAAATCTTGGGTTTTGGGGAATTAAATGAAGCATGATCCCTGGTGCAGACTTAAATGAAGTCAGGGATAACCATTAACTACAGCTTATTGTGATGTTCAAACTTGGTCAGTAGGTTTAGGCTATTAGGCTTCATACAAGAACACTCGTCTCTCTCATACAAAACTACCTTTGCCCGTAGTTCTATGCTATGAGCTGATTTGTATCCTTGCCCCACTTTCTTTGACCAAGATAACCCTCCCCATTTCTCCCTTCTCAGCAGAAAGGATACATCCATCAGGTTGACCATGTTACGGCAAGAATCCATGCTGAACCCATCTGTCTTCAGATCTTTGTCTGGCCGAGGGAGGAAAGAGACACACTGTTATTACACTTGGATGGGATGTTCAGAGATACCCACAGAACAGGCCAGGAGTCTGAATAAGAAGCACTTACGTCTGGCAATGACTCTGTTCAGAATGGTTCGGAGCTCAAAAACACTGATTTCCATGTCCTGGAGGAAGGGAGAGAAGGCAGATCATTAGAAGAGCATTTCATGGCTCAGAGATTTCAGGGATCCAAAAGCAGCTCACTCCTAACTCCTCAGGCTCTGATCCCACCTCGGGCAGCCTGTCAATGAATAGGGATGAATGGATCACTCTATCTACAATCCATGTTGATTTCACATACATGTCTATTCATAAGTTCACTGTGCCCTGTTTCCACACCAATCTGCAATTCTGTTTGTTTTTTTAATCTACAGCAAAATTAATATTTAAATAGGTATTTTATTCCAAAATATGTATTTAAATGCATTTTGCATCAATAAATGGGTTTCTAAACATACAAAACAGATTTATTTACATGTTTTGGTATACGTTTTTTGAGCCAAGAATGGCATCACAAAATTCAAAGCATTGCTTTCTGATTTGAAACTCAGTCCCAGGTCCGTTTGTATCAGAATTCAGAAACTAAATTCTTCAAGCATCCCTAGTATTAAGGGATGGTTCTGGACAACACAGAGGAAGGCTAAGTTACTGAAGTAGTCATGGAAATTTGTCCGGACTATGAGCCCTTCAGCCTCAAATTCATATTCCAATGAACTATTGCCATCTTCCTCCAGAGATCACAAGCATGCTTCTGTTCAATGATATTTATCTATTGTGCTTCCCCTCAACTTTCCCTCCATTCTCCAAGTTCTATGCCTCTCCATGCCTCTCTCACCCTCATTTTATCTCTACAATACCCCTGTGAGATAGATGAGGTCGAAGGAAGGCGACTTTGGGGCATCCCTCAGAGAGGTCTCTGATCCAAGTGAAGTCCTCTTTCCACGGTGAACAGGCTCCTTCGACACCTTCTCACTTCCACATTGTCAAAGCCACTGGCGCTACTTTACCTGCTCATTGCACACAATAACTGAAGGGGGAAGAAACTGACAGGAATGCTGAGTCACAGTACCTACCTCTCCTGCAAGCTGCCGGAACATGTTCTTGAAGTTTTCGTCCACGTCATCCTCAGATATCTCTTCCTGAGGAAACAAAAACCAGGACCAGCAGGTGAAGCACTGCTCTGACTACCTAATTTTCCCTCTAGCTATCTTCAAAAACCACTGACAGCATCTTAGACACTCCCATCATTAAATGCTATCTTCTTGCTTTCCATCAGCTGACTTTCTCCCTTCCCTTAATTCTCCACGCTTCATCCCATCCTGTTTTAACCAACAAGGATGATTTAAAATGTAGCTTTAAGAAGGAGGAACATTGGCATGAAGGGACATTAGCCAAATGCTCAACAAAGTATTTTATTATGTGCAGGTGATTTATACAGTTACCCAAGACTATATTACTGCAACATGCTTTATGGGGAGCTGTCCTTGGGACTCATCTCAAAGCTTGATCTAGAGCAGATTGCTGCAGCTAGATGGATAATGGGAAAAGGCAGGGTTAAGAGACCTGCATTGGCTTCCCCTTTCCTACCAGGCCAGGTTCAAGGTGTTTGTACTGGTGTACGAAGCCCTGAGCAACTAAGGCCCAGGATACCTTAAGAACTGCCCCTTTATGTCCCAAGCCAATTACAGAGATCACCCCCCTTGGACCAAAGTATTATTTATTTATTTATTGCTTTCCTAGCCCAACTTTGGCGCTCAAGGTGACATACATCACTCCCCCTCTCCTCATTTAATCTCCACAACAACCTTGTGGGGTAGGCTGAAAGGTCACCCAGTGAGTTTCACGGCCAAGTGGGAATTCGAACACTGCTTTCCCAGCTCCTAATCCAACACTGGAGTCATGCCTTGAATGTAGCGAGCCCAACTCTATGGAACCCCCTCACACTAGAAATCAGACAGGCATTGTCCCTGCTAAGCTTCACATGCTTGGTTAGAACCATTTTGTTCCAGGAGGCATTCGCACCATGAATACTTGTTTCGGTATAATCATCTATGATGTTTTAAATTTTGTACACTGTATTGTTTTCACTTTTTGTAAACTGCTTTAAGACCCAGATACAGTGAAATGTGCAGAATACACACACACACACACACACACACACACACACACTTAAATGCTCTCATAAATAAGTCAGAATTAAAAAAGAGGGAGGTTTGACACTTAAAACTGCCCGTCTTGGGTTGGAGTGTTACCTCATCAGGCAGATCTGCGCTGATCTCCTCATCCAGCTCCCTGGAGAAGAAAGAACACTGTTAGGAAAGCCTCTAGTTCTGAGAAGATGGAGGAGGGCCTGGCAGAAGGGCAAGAGATATGGTAGGACACATCTCCACTTTGACTGTCCCCCATTCAAGAGAGCAGTCCCAATGGATGTATCTGGAAGTTTGCTGTGCAGCTCACTCAGGCAACAAAACATGGAAAGCCACTGTGAGGATAAAGACATTGGGTGGAATACAAGTCAGGTCTATTCCTCAACTAGCTTTTGAGTCTTTTGTCCAACATCTAGAACTCAGATGAATATCTCCTGCTGCTCAGTGCCTTCCTTTTCTTAACCCTCCAAAAGTCAACTGGCATCCAAGCTAATTTACAGAAACGTAGCTGAGTCCCGAGGAAAGCTCATACACCCCTTACAAAGACCTAGGAGATGATAGTAGCTCACACCGAAGGCATGGACTCACTCTGTGTCTGACTGCTTCTCCGTGAAGACGCGCAGGATGAAGTCTGCTTCCTGGTGAGGCTCAAAGGTGGAGGGCACGATGATGTATTCGCCTGGGGGAAGGCGGATGTGGTTGCTCACCTCCCGCAGGTTGATAAAGGTCTCTGAGCGCGCCCGAGACTGATTCCTCAGGAAGAATTCCTTCTTCAGGTGAATGCTCTGGCAGCCCTGGTTCTGGGACAGGAAACAGTTCAGGTATATTATACAGGGCGGCAAAGGGGCAGCCCTCTCCTTCATCTGATGACAACGGCCTAGGCATCACATGCATATCCAGAAACATACACTCACACCATGCATTTAAAGCACTACAATCCCACTTTAAAGTCTCGTGAAGGCATCTGGCAAACCCATCTAAAATCATGCAACCACCGCACATTTACTGATTTTGCTTAATTTGTTGATGCATCCAGTGCAGAATTGGACCCCCCTTTCTAGCTTAGAACCTATACAGCCTGGACCATTTGGTCTGCAGCCATCAAAGAGCCGTGCACAACATTATGGGTCTCTGTTTGCATCAAGCAGGAGGAAGGTACACATTTCAGATTCCATCCAGAATAGGGAACATCACTCTGTGGCCTCAACCCATTTCATTCTCGCACACAATTCAGTAACGGGGTTTCGGTGGCTCAAGGCATACCTCCTCAGGAACCTGCACACAGAGAGAAAGCAGGAAAAGGTTAGGAATGCGCTCCTATTAAGTGATGATGCTCAAAAGGGCACACCAGGAAGCCACGTGGGGTTACCTCATAGACTGCAAAGCCAATGGTGTGCATGTCTTCCCCAGCTTTACGTGCTTTCCGCCGGTGCTTCTGCATCAAGGCCACCAAGAAGCTGCAAGCCAATTCATTGTCGTCTGGGTCGTCATCCTCTTCCAAGAGCTTGATTTTGAACTGGGGGTTAATCCAGAATGTAGCTGCAAGGGGGAGAGGGAAGATGGTGCACAATCTTGTGTTTGTTTTGTACTGGTGTGTAGTGACTGTATACCTAGATTAACTGTTTGAGTTTGCTACGAGTCAATAAAAGCCTCTGACTAGTCAAGTAACTAGCCTCACAATATACTACAAGGTTATCAAGATTTGAAAGCAACCATTATTCATCTTCATTACCTACTTCTTCCTATCTTTCCTCATCTATTTCTTTTTTTAAGAAACTACAGTGGTACCTTGGGTTACAAACACCTTGGGTTACAAACACTTTGGGTTACAAACACTTTAGGTTGCAGAATCCGCTAACCTGGAAGTAGTACCTCGGGTTAAGAACTTTACCTCAGGATGAGAACAGAAATTGTGTGTCAGCAGCACGGCGGCAGAGGGAGGCCCCATTAGCTAAAGTGGTAACTCAGGTTAAGAATGGTTTTAGGTTAAGAACGGACCTCTGGAATGAATTAAGTTCATAACCAGAGGTACCACTGTATGTGGTTACTTCCGAAATCCCCTATGTCCAACTGCGTAATAACTTCACACTGCACAGATTTTGTTGTGGTTGACAATAATGTGTCTAGCTGCATGTTAGAAGTAGCCCCGCCAGTGGTCTTTCCCAGGGAAAAGAATGGTTTCAGGTTAAGAACGGACCTCTGGAATGAATTAGCTTTCCCATCAGAAAAAGTTTGGTTTTCCACAACTAAGGCATCCAGAGAGGAGGACATCAGGCCACAAATCGTGGCTCAAGCAGAGGCTCCAGGATGGTGAATTTATATACCACTCCTCTGCAGAATGTGGGAGTCACTTTATTAGTCCATCAGAAGCAAAGAGGGCGGACAAAGAATAGGCAGCAGCCGTTACCTGGGTGGTTCCTGCAGCCTCCTGCTGTGCTGCCTCGGCGCCAGGTGCCCTCAAAGAGGGTGGTATGCCATCTGCTCATGTCATCCTTGGTCAGAGCATCGGGGGTGAGGTTGCAGATCTCCAGCCTGGAAAACTCACGTAGAAAGTCTCGAAAAGACATCCTGCAGGGACAAAAAGGTATGTTGAAGTCACAGGGCAGAGAGGAGAATCAGGCAGGGCAAGTGCACCGTCGCTCGAATGCTTAAAAAACCTTGAAGCCAAAAGCAAACACTTTCCACACCTACTCTTTAAACAACTTTGGGGTACAAACAGAAAGGAGCTATGGGTGTTTTGTTCTGTTGTTTTTTTTAAAAGAGGCAATTAATTGGCATCAAACACTTCTGCATAGCCCACTGCAGAATTATTTGGGGTATCTGCATGTCTCTGTGTGTGTACACACCAGGAACAAACAGTGCCACAAGTCTCAGAACTCACCAGAATTCACCATCTTCCATTTTCAGCTGCAGTTCTTCCCTCTGATCGGGGTCCACTTCGTTCCACTCAGAAGAGCTAAGATAGCAACAGAAAGATAGTTATGCTGTGCGTCCTCCCCATGTTGTGTCAGTTTGCATTTCTTAGTGCAGAAAGTATTGATCTGATGTGTGGAGATCTTTCCTATTCTAATTAATTCAAGAGGGTTCTTGAAGCTTCTCTGTGTGAAAGAAACAAGCAGAAGGTTCGTGATGTTTGGCTTATTCCTTCGGAGAAGCTGAGTGCAGCTGGTTTAAACTGGTTCTGTTATCTCTTCTTCAGGGTCATGCTGACTATAATAAGAGGCCAGAAGGAGCCTGGGTTTCAGTTATTCTTTCTGTCTCTTTTCCTTCTGGTGTGGTGTTCTGTACACAGTGTGCTTAATGTTAAGGTTTTGAATTATTATAAGTTATTGTAAGTTTAAGTTAAGTCTGCTGCAACTGGATTTCTTATGGACAGTGCCAATCCTGAACTTATTGGATTTGTGACCATTATGCTCATTTGCCTTCAGTAGCAGTAAAGCTCTGCTAGATGAGATACAATTGCCTCTGGCTTATATTTTGAGAATCCAGCAATGTGTTTAAGTTTTTATTCTGCTAACTATACATTGGAATCTACTCTGGATCAATATTGAGTAGAATTTTAGTGACATGTTGCTCCTCCCAGTTTTATCTGGTAGCAGCAAAGGGCTGTGGTAGAGCCCATGCTTTGCATTCAAAAAGTCCCAAGTTCAATTCTCCCTCCTGTCTGAAACCCTGGAGAGCTGCTTCCAGTCAGTGTAGACAATTCTAAGTTAAACAGTCCATTGATCTGACTCTATTAGGCAGCTACCCATGACCCTAACCTGATGTTTCATTCCAGCTCATGGATGAACAGATTCAATAATAATAATAATAATAATAATAATAATAATAATAATAATAATAATAATAATACTTTTATTTGTATCCCGGCTTCCCTGGGCTCAGGGCGGCTAACATCAAATATATAACATTGGTATAAAATGAAACAATAATCAAATTACCTCCTAAAAACGTCAGGATCAAATTAAAACCTAATTAGATGGCTAATTAGATCAAAAAGCACTGTGTTAGAAAGGAGATAGAAATCTTACCTGTGATGGCTTAATTGCACATGCAGATCATCACCTGATGCTAAGGTCATCGAGTGATAGTACATGCATTTGCTAAACATTTTTTTAAGTGTCACCCGGATGCATCCCAAATGGGATGGCTATCAGATGTCACAGTTGGGCACGGCACCTACTAATGTCACTGCAGGAACACGTCCAACCCACCTATCACTCCAGGCTCCAGTCCACTCCACTTGACCCCAGGGATTCCTTATCCGAATGAGTGCTTCCTGCCGGCCACGATAGTCCACCTGTCAAAGTTAAGGTATTAAGACAACCGACACACATGGCTAAAGCCCTTGAATTGGTCTCCACAGCCCCTTGAAGAGAAACTCACATTCTTCAATCCTGTGACGCTATAGGCATGGCCCTTCACCAGTTTCTTGAAGGTAATGGCTTCCATGTCAAATGCACTTGTGATCTGTAGAAAGGGGATATATGGCACTGGTTAAAAGGCTTAACCCTCCCCTCTCTCCAAAAGGCGATGGACTAAAATGGCTGCTAAACAATGTACCAGCAGCAGTTCATGGCTCGGTGTTGGTTCCTGTATACTGTATCCTAGTTGCCTCAGTGAAAAGTTCATTCACAATGTTGAAGAGGCTGTGAACTCTTACAAGCCTGTTCATTTCAGAAGGATGCAAAAGTCGTGCAGTAAGGCTGTGGGCATTACAGCATCTACATCAAGAGCTGCTCAGTTTCCATGGGTTCCATAGGAAAAGGGCCCTTTAGTGGGTATAGGCTTTGACTTCTGGAAAACTGTTATTTGGAAACTTGACAGAGAACTTTGGGTGAAACATCACTAGGAGTGCTGACGACATCCAGGTTGATTTATTTACTTTTTCAACAGGAGAAGACCAGCTTTTCACATTTGAAGGCAACATTCTATAGCAGGGATGGGGAACCTCCAGCCCTCCAGTTCTTGTTGGGACTACAACTCCCATCATCACTGGCCACACCAGCTGACCTGATGGGAATTGGAAATCAACATAATCTGGAGGGCCGCTGCTTCACCCATCCCCATTTTACAACATAAAGCTATTCCATAGATTAGCTGCCAGCTATTCACCAACTGGCCACTTGTATTATTCAGAATACACAAAGTGTGAAAAGTACATGCAGTGATAATGTACAGATTAGTTCTGGCCCCTAGATCATAGTATATATAATGAAATGTAGCCCACATTCATTTTTCTGGCTTACTTGGCACTGCTTTTCTCCACAACAGTATGGAGTGTGAGGGGGGATGACTTATTACAACTCGCAAATGGACATTTATAGAAGGTCACCCAGTGGACAAGGTGTGAGCAGGCATGCAGGGCAATAAGAGTGGGTATGGAGAAAGGAAAAGCTCTTGCGTAGGATGCTTGGCTCAGAGGCATTCCTCCTTCACAGCTTGGCACCATTCCATTTCTCTTGCTTAGACTGGTGTGCACTTGTGTGTGGTCACCAATGTTGTTTTTCTCTCCTCGCATTTTAAAAACACAGGAATAATTAAAAGATGTGTGTTTGGCAAGCATCCCAGACAATGGTCAGTCAGGCATGGATCTCAGACCAGCAGCTGACCAATTTGCACATAACAAGACTATTCATATGCCCCTGTTTTTCACGTCATTGTTTTCTAACTTTTAAAAGAACTCAACTAAAGAGTAAAAGAAAATGGCAACCTGAACTGTACCGTATTTGCCTGAAACAGGGTGGTTGTCCATACACTTTCCTAACACAAGGGGGCACCAACCAAATGTCTCTTGCTACAGATGAACAGGAGAAATGGAACTTCACAGCAAACAGAGACTTGAGTTAACATTTGGGCCTATTCTACTGTTCTACTCTGACAGGTTTCCACTGACCGAATCCCTGGCCTCAGAACAAATATCAGAGCCAGATCAGGGAAGCCAGAGCTCCCCCGCTGCCCCACTTTGATTCCACATCTGGAACATCCCACAAGCTCCCTCTTTGGGGCACTGCTTACATCGATGGAGCAGCCAAGCAGGGATCCCCTCTCAAGAGCCTTGGAAATAATCCTGCACAAGTCGCGAGGTGGCTTCTTGAGATCGTACATCTCTGCCACGCCACCTGTGAAGTCCTCAAAGCCCTCTGTGGTGCTGCCCCCCGACAGGGCCTCATAAGAGCCATTCAGCCTGTATGGCAAAGAGAATTAGTGGTTAGTAGGCTAGCCTTACACCTGGCCTCCTGGAAACCGGAAGGCCCACTTACAGAGGGTGGTGAGTTGAAGAACAACGGAAACAAATCCAAACCAGGGCTTGCTGGAAAAAAACACACAAAGGGGCATAACCTGCGCTGAAGCAGCACTCACTTGGCATAAGCTTTTTCCAGCAGAGCACTCCAGAACTCCTGGCACTCTGCTGAGTGCACAAACACCAGCTCTCCATCCTTGGTTGGCAGCCGATCGTCAATCACTACATCCACCCATTCACCAAACTGCCAGATCTGAAGAATAAGAAGTCGGAGAATAATAATGAGCCCCCACCACTAAACTGGAAGAGGACTACACCACCTTAGTAAAATATATATCGACTGGCAGTGGCTTTTCAGGGTCTTAGATGTTCTTCCCCAGCTCTACCTGGAGATGCCAGGGCTTGAACTAATGATGGTTTGCATCCAAAGGATGTACTCTACCACTGAGCTATGAGCTTTGCTGATTGGGTTGAGGTAATGGGACAGCAGACATTAGGTTCGAACAGGGCAACCATCCCTTCAGCAATAACTCCACTTCTTAGCCAAAGCTTCCTCTGTTTGCAGCTTTACGTTTTCCATAGCTTAGGGTCCCATCCATCTGTGAGACGGGATTTTCTTTGAAGCACTTTCTGTGGGAAAGATGAGCCTTACCTGGAAGTGAAAGATGCCCGCATAGTCCTCCTGAAAGCTTTGTCCATGGGGTACAACCCTGTGCAAAAGTTCCTCATTGAGAGTCAAGGAACCAATAGCAGCTAGCAACCAGCAGTCACCTGATAAATAAGGAAATAGATGTCAACTCAGGCTGCATTCAGATGTGGGGATTGCTGAACCAGTTTTCCTGGTTACACTTTTGCCCCAGTTTCTGACATTCCTTTTACACTGCATTGCTAGCTGCATTATGGAACAGTGGCTTTTTGACTGATAGACGGCCAGGTCACACTAAATCCCACTCACTCCCATAAGCATAGTGGTACACAAAAGCAGACAGCAGACATGTTCGCACAATCCCACCCTTTATGCTCACGTGCGCTACGATTCCCCCACGAAAATGGCAGGAAAGAGTAGTTATGTTGGCATACCACCCCAAATTTCATCCTCCAATCCCCCCCGCCCCCATTAATGGTGTTGCAAACGGATTTTCCCTGGAAGCAATTAATAGGGGAATGAGCACTAAACTTCCGCTGCACTTCCAGAAGTGGCTTTTATGTTATGTGAAAGATCACATAAACTTTGCCGGGGGACAAGGGGGAAGGAATGAAGTGCTGTCTGAATGCAGCCTCAGTTTCCCAGTGGACCTGGATTCCTAATATCCTTATTTCTTCTCTAGGTTTTCAGGATCAGCAAATTCCTCATTTCATTTATATCATCTGAAATCACCAGAAAACTTGGAATATGCTCTCTTGGTCTTAAGATTCATTTATGGTGCCTCCAGCTCCCCTCTCAATCCAAGGAATAAACACACATTACTCACCCAGAGCCCCCTGGCAGATATCTGTCCTTGTAGCACCTCCAACGATAAACTGGGGGTCATCCACAATTTCCTGCAAAGAGGAAAGGAAAATGGAATATAAACTGTGGCTGGGTTCTTCAGAATACTCATACACACATAGTCGGAGCACTGAATACACAACATGAATGCAACATCCTTAAACGGAGACAGGCAAAGACTGTTATGGCTCAGATCCATATTGTGTTCCTTTCTCCCACTTCAGTGCTGCTCTTCTTTTTAATATCTCCTGCTCTCTCTGACCTCCCTGCTCTGGTTTCTTGGGTTATGGGCTGGTCTAAATGTATTCTGGAGAGTTCAAGAACACACACACAAATCTTCAGATTCTTGCAACTTTCTTTTCCTTTATTTTACTGTGCATGTGAGAAATGAATACATTGCACAAGTTCTTTGTTGAGGACCTATTTTTGCAGTGCTTTACATAAAACACTGAAGTGCCATAACAAAAAAGGAGAGTGGTTTTTTGATTTTTTTTTACCAAAACCAGCAGAATCTAGAAACTAAATCTAACACATTCAATGAAGTATTCTGTTACTTGTGAAAGCTTCTGGCGTTAAAGGGAGTCTCTATGTTGGAACATCTCCTGGTTCTGTTTGGCACTGAAGTACAGTAATGAATGGTTGGCATCAGAGTTCAGTTGAGCCAGGCAGCTGCTATCGCCCAGACCATTTAAAGCACAGGTGGCCAGTTCAGGCAGATGCTGGCAATCTAATGCTGATAATACATTTTTGAGCCATACACTATGACTGTGGTGCCCTATTTTCTGAACAGAAATCGTTAGTTTTAACTTTAGTTTCAGGAAAATCCTTGATATTTGCAGGTGTTCACACATTTTTAAATTATATTTCTGTGGTGTGGGGATTAACAGATGGGCAACGGAAGCAGAACCTGCAAAACCTTATAGCTGCAAAGAGGTTTATACTTCAAGGCTGGAAGCATAAACACCCGCCACCCACCCTGAATATCCCATTGCTCTTTCTACATGTGAACAAGTAGACATGTTGATTGCTTATATTTATATATATATTTAAGTCAGGATTCATTGTCTTAGAAAGATTAATGTGAGCAGACAATGTTTTCTTCTTGTTGAATACCACCTATAATCTCAAACAAGTTTTACTCAGGATAGACCCATTGAAATCAATGGACCCAACATAATCATATTCATTAATTTGTACTCTGAAAAAAAAACCTTAGTTGAATACACTCCCATCTATCCATTCGGGGTTGGGGAGAGGGGGAGAGAGAGCTGGCTAACCTGTGGCCCTCCAGATGTTACAATTCCCATCAGTTCCAGCCAGCATGACCAATGGTCAGAGATGATGGAAACAATAGTCTATCAACATAAGGAGTGTACCAAGTTTACAATAAATACCATATTTTTCCATGTATAAGACAATGTGTTTTGCTTAAAAATTTTAGTCAAAAATTGAGGGCTGTCTTATACCCAGATGGTGAATGTACAGGGGTTCAGGGTTGAGTGCAGGCTGCCTGGACTCGGGTTCAAGCTCGGACTCTGGGGCAGATGGTCTGGGAAGGGTTTGGGCTCTGGCTCTCGTAGCGCAGGCTTGGGTTCGGGCTCTGGCCCAATTTCTAAATTTTGGGTTCCAAAGAATAGGAGTCATCTTATACGTGGGGGCATCTTATACACAAAAAAATACAGTATGCAGGGCAGTATTTTTGTCACCTTATAATCATCATCATCTATTATTTGGTCTGCACCAGCTTGTGCAGATCTCATATGCTTGTATCAAAGGATTTCTTCCTATGCCCTATTAAAAAGGTAAAGGTACCCCTGCCCGTATGGGCCAGTCTTGCCAGACTCTAGGGTTGTGCGCTCATCTCACTCTATAGGCCGGGAGCCAGCGCTGTCCGCAGACACTTCCGGGTCACGTGGCCAGCGTGACAAGCCGCATCTGGCGAGCCAGCGCAGCACACGGAACGCCGTTTACCTTCCCGCTGGTAAGCAGTCCCTATTTATCTACTTGCACCCGAGGGTGCTTTTGAACTGCTAGGTTGGCAGGCGCTGGGACCAAACGACGGGAGCGCAGCCCGCTGCGGGGATTCGAACCGCCGACCATGCGATCGGCAAGTCCTAGGCGCTGAGGTTTTACCCACAGCGCCACCCGCGTCCCATGCCCTATTATGATCTACTTTTTCCTCACCAAGAACCAGGCCATACCAAAGCTTAGAGGGAGACTTTGCATATAAATGTTGCTACATACCCCAAACCTTGAAGCAAAATGGATAACCCTATTCAACTAAATAATGGCTCCAAAACATGGGCTTGTGCCATCGATACACAGGAAACTGCTGGGAACTCTAGAGAGTTCTATTGTAGTGAATATTCAAGTGTGGAAATTGGTTGTCTGGCATTTCTCCACCCCTTTTGCAGACTAGACTGTCTTCTGCAAGCTCAGATGCATTTGAAGTTGGGCTGGATCCCAGAGTCAACTAAAATTTATTGAAGGGGCAAAGCAAGATGTCCAAATGAGAAAAGCGGGACTAATTAGAAGATGGATAGAGGCCACCAGAAGCAAATAATAATGATAATAAATGCTGGAATTGGATCCATGAACAAAGAGGCTTTTAATAAAAGCTGCTAACAGAATGCAGAACAGCGGGTCCTCCGAGGGTCCCTTCAAGCAGACGGCCAGGTACTCACCGAAGGACGCATCCAGCGAACTCCACGGGTTTTGGAAGAATTTGGCCCCAGCTCCTTGAATCCAAGGACTGAGGGGATGGCAGGAAACTGGGGGTCCTCAAACAAGGTGCCACTCTCCAGACATTGCTGCTTCAGGGTCTCATAATCTTGGCCGAGGAACTTAACGGCATTGTTGTGCTGGCCCACACCCTCAGCCCGCAAACGGTTCCATTCTAGTTTGGCAGCCATTCCTCCAAAAGGCATCATGGCACAACAAGCAGGGCGTGGGCAACGGATACCTCAGCAACACTCCTGAAATCCAAAATAAAAATCCACTGTGAGATGAGACACAGATTACTGAAGCTGATTAAGGGTATCCAGCATGTGCATCTATGTTTCTATGATTATAGATTTTAAAATTCCTGTCTTGCCTTTCAAGAAAAACAAGGAAGTGCAATATCTATTTATAAGATATAGTTTGGAAAAAAAACAAGCCAAAGACTGAAAAACAGTTTAAAAGAGTCCTAATCCTCATGGCTAATCAGGAAAAACCAAAACAGTAGTACTGTCTTGGGGGGGGGGATTCTCCATTTTGTTCTGCATACTGGGGAGGGCAAATCACCAAATTGGAGATATTCTTCCAGACTACAGGTGGCAATGCATTGACTGAATAAGCCTTCATGCTCTTGTGAACAATATTTGTCCGTTGGTTGAACTATGTAGTTGGGTGCATTTGTCAAAGATACTCCCAGCCATTTATATGCCCCACTGTTTCCACAAGGAGCTCAGGATCACACACAGAGAGAGTCCTCTCATTATTCCTTCACAACAACCCAAGAAATAGGTCATCCAGTTTCATGCCTTCTGTCAGCTTGGAGGCCAAGTTGTGATTTGCACTTGGGCTCCTCCACGCATGCGAAGACAAATGCGCCACACTGGCTTGCAGGCCATGCAACACAGCAAATGGATCTCACCACAGCCTGGGGGACACCCTTTGCTGAGCACAGATCAGGTTAGGACATTCTGGGCAGCCCACAAGAAGATGGCTTCCAGCTGCGCGCAGCTGTAAGCCAGAGACAATAATGCCTGCAGACCCAGCGAAAAGAAATCCCAGAAGCCCCAGCTCTGGCAGGAGTGAGAGAACCAAAGAAGCAAATAGAGCTCATCTGACAGGATGAGCATTTTGGGAAGAGTGCCACCAGTCACCCCACACTCAGATGCCTGAAAGGACTACCGAGAAATGCAAGCACTCTTTGGTAACCAGGTGTTAGTGAAATACCATGCAAAACAGATGTGTTTGTATATGCATGAAAATATTTACATCATCCTGACTTCCAAATTTCCTGGCTGGGTTATGTTTCAGTTTGGGGTTTTTTTTGGCAGACTTTAGAAGATTGACACCCTAGGAGAAAATAAGAAAGAAAGAAAGAAAGAAAGAAAGAAAGAAAGAAAGAAAGAAAGAAAGAAAGAAAGAAATGTAATAGATACTCGAGTGACAAAATCCCACTTAACCAGTGTTTCTCAAACTTGAGTCCTCAGCTATTGTTGGACTACAACTCCCATCATTGCTGACTACTGGTCCTGGCTTGCTAGGGATGATGGGAGTTGTAGTCCAACAACAGCAGAGGACCCAAGTTTGAGAAACATTGCACTTAACGTAATAATAATAATAATAATAATAATAATAATAGAATTTATATACCACCCTATATCTGGAGGTCTCAGGGTGGTTCACAATAGAGTCCTGCTGGATCAGGCCAGTTGCCCATCCACCCCAGCATTGTGTTCTTGTGGTGAGAAACAGCTATGCAAAGCTGACAAGCAGGGCCTGTGTGCAACAGCACTCTCCCCCTTGCGATGACCAGCAACTGGGAGCATTATCATTGATAGTGACATAGTAGCTCCTATTTTTTCCAGGTGATGCTGACATCATTATTCAGCTAGCATTCTGGGACAATGTATTTTTTAAAAACACTTTTTCTTCTAATACAAAAAGATCCATCAGCCTCAGCCAGCATAACCAATTGTCAGGTATGATTAGAGCTGGAGTACAAGGTCATTGGGAGGGCCACAGGGTCCCTGTGTAAATGGTAGAGATTCACTACTGCCTGCATGTGTGGAAATTACAGTATTTTGCAACCCACATGAAGATGTGCCCATTTCACTGTGTGCACATATATCTGTACATCTACATGCTACAGGAATCCATCAGCAGCTCTGCCTTCCATTCACATAGTGAAATAGATCCTCGATGTACATAGTTTCCTATATGGGAAGACAAACAAATCCACCCTTCACAAACCAGAACTTTCCACACTCAAAAACAACGTTTGTCACAGAGTTACTCCCAGCTGAGTTCAAGCATTCTACATCCCCCTCTAGGCTGCTTGTTCTGAAAGACAAAAGTCAAATTTACCTCAGAACTATGCTTTGGGGCAATATATTCGATGTCAGCAAATATCTTACCAAGGTTTAACTGCCTCTAGCATACTGTTGGGACTTGATGACAGATATCATGAGAGAGAAAACTAGTTTACATCAGGATAAAAGTCACAAAAAACAAGTTCACACAACTTCTCACCCCACAAGGTATGCATATTTCCATGCAGACCAGACCAGTCATTCTCTCTCTCTTTCTCTGACTCACTGGGCAGGGCGGAGTGAAACGGAATCACCAGGCACATTCATATTCATCATAGCAACCGTTTCCTGATCTGTGGTTTCATTATTCTAAAGAAGTCGGCCTGCTAACAGAAAGCACACTTGGACAATTATGACATGGATGTGTGTGTGTCCCCCTCAGATACAGGGTGTCCCTGATGCGGGTCCTCAGCCACAGAACCAAGTCTGGCACATAGGAGCACTGAGGCACATGAGATGGGAAGCTTGTGACTGGATCACCTCCCAATATGTTACTTAAGCCACTTCCCAGGTCCCCTCAGCGGGCTTAAGTATGGGATGAAACCCTTAATTTATGAAATAATTGTAACAATACATTTGTGTTCTGTTTTGGTTTTATTAAAATCAAGCGCCACATGCTTGTTGTTACGCTACCAGGCTGCATTTGTGGCTCATAACATTGAAAATGCAAGCTTTCTTCTTATTGAGCTCTTTTGGATAGAACGCTGCATGTTTCCCCTTTACATTTCTGTAAACTTTACAGAAACCACAATCTAAAGGAGCAGGCAGACACTTTTAAAAATGAAAACTGAAAATTCAGGAAAGGATCCTGGAACAATCCTGTGACAGCCCCTCCACCCTGTCATTTCATGGCCCCGTGGGCAGCCCCATATCAGAACGGATGGCTGAAGTTATCTTAAGCAACTGCAACAGCCAGCACACAGGAAACTATTTGAGAACCAGTATGTAGGAGGGAAACCCAGTGCTATTAGCTGACAAAAAGTAGTGGCTTGGAAAGGGTGGGGGAGAAGGGAGAGACACATTATGTAGCAGTGCAAGTCAAAGTAGACTAACTCCAGCCCCGTATACTTGTTAAGTGTGAAGGAAGAAAAACAGAACAAAAAGCACCCACCTCTTTTTTTAAGATAAAAGTTAAGGTGTATACAAATTCACTCACACATTAAAAAGCTTGGAAGCATTAAGTTACGACACCTGGCCTTAGCTCACTGCCACACAAGCAGGAAAACGCCTTCTATCTCATAATATTGTGCTTGCTTATGACTTAGCTGCCGCGTACTAACACTTACCCTTGTGTATAGTGCACTTGTAGCATGTTGCAGCACATGAAAACACAAGTGTCAATCTGGCCAACAAGACACAAAAAACAAGCTTTTTCATGGCCACACTCAGTCACTGGAGTCCCCACTCTTGGCATTCGTCTGGAAGTCAAAAACCCTTTCTTTTCAGTTGGATTTCAGTCTATCAGTTGGCTGCTTTTATCTGAGTGCTTGCATATATTACTGCTGTCTTTTTTCTGCTGTTTATTTATTAGGTATGTGCATTTTTAATATGAATTTTCAATGTCTTCATTTATATTTTGATTTATTTTCTGTTTATTGTTAGTTTCTAGGTCAATATTCTGTTAAACAGGTGAAACATAAATAATAAAGCTTCATAAATAAATGCCATTCTTTGGGTAGGCAAAAAATATCATTTCTCTAGAAAGACAGAAAAACCTCAACTGTACAAAAGCCTATTAGCAGAGGAGGAGTAAACTGTCTTAATTTAAGAATATATTATGCAGCTGTTAGTGTCAGAATGGCTAAATAGGAAGGATATTTCTCCAGGATGAACTCTAATGCAAAGTTATACAAAAATAGCTCTGGAATATTTATCCAATCTTTAAACAAACTTCAACATCTCACGAAGTTAAAAGAAATAATGAATGCTAGGTTTAAACAGTTATAACACAGCCATTCCTCACAAGCTTCTTGCCATTTGGTCAGATTTCTCCCTCTTGCAGGTAAAATTCTGTACTGATAGTGCAAATTGTTTTGATTTTATGACAAGACTTTTCAGGTGCTATAATGGCAGACTGCTGAAACAGCTGCTCACCTTCCTTACAGAACCACTCCCAGTTATATTGCTGCCAGAACTTAGAAACACTGGTATCATATCAGCAACCAATTGCTGGCAGCATTTATTGATGCAGGTAGTATATTTTAATTGCACATTAGCACAGTTAGCTTCTGTTGGTTCCCAGAGCACAACTCAGTAGCTATTATTGCTGTAAGGCACGAGTGTTTCGTCAACAAAAGGTTTGTCTGCAAACATGATGGTAAGGTAAGAGACCCATATATGTAACTTCTCGTGTTTTACATTTTCCACTATCAATTCCTGTATTATGAGAACGGAATCATTTTCTCACAGAAGTTTAAGCAACCTAACAAAATGTCAACCAGCTGCCTATTGCCATTACCACAAATGATGCCTGGCCCACAAGGGCAGAATCCCAAATCCAACCCATCATTTGATGCCCAGTTTTACTAAACAAACAGCTGATTCTATGTTTTCCCTTTAAGTCCCCAAGTTTCCAAAATACTGCCTTGTCTGGATGATCAGAGTTCCGATTAAGAAGGCTTAAAGTGGCCCCACAAACAAATCCCCATCCTCTGTAAAAAAAACAACCCAAAGTCACACTTCCCCCCACTGCTCGCAAGAGATCAAGTGCTATAGTCTATAGACTATAACCAGAAAAGGCCTTCCTGCTTTTCTGAAGTCCTAGCATACAGCTACTATTTGGGATTGTTTAATTCAGTCACTTTCCCAGTCTCCCATATTCCCCCAAACCAGGCACTCTGCCAATCAGATCAGCCAGTGCTTAATCAGCTTCTAAACATTTGCAAAATGGAAAGGGATACCCTCTTCTCCCTGCCGCTCCCTTCAGCCTTTCAGCACACTCTCTCGACCATGCAGCTTTGAAATGGGTTTCACATAGCTGGCACAATCATTTGATTTTGCAGAAAGAAAACATTTCCTGCTACTTCAATTTCCTGCTGCTGTACATGCAAACTAAAAATGGTACTTCTGAATTCCCAGCGCAGAAAGAGTTCTGCGCAGTTTCCCAGAGGCAGTGTTCCTCTGCAGCACTGGCAGCAGGGTCAAGTCCCGAGTTCCTTGCTTTCTACCTCTCCCCTTGTGCCAGACCAAAATGACCAGCTACAAGGACTCTGATCTGTGAGAATGGTTGTATCAGACTGCAGATTTCTGAGCTGCGGGCCTCTTTATGACATTCAAGTCCAAACACAGAGACCTTCATCGGAAGCAGAATCTGTCTAGAGTCAATCCAGGGATGGAAGGATATTCAAGATGTTCCTCAAGGTGAAACACTGCCTGCCACTCAGCACAGCTTCCTTTCTTACATCCTTGAATATCTGCAGGGAGGACTGACACCTGCAGCCTAAGTGGTACAATCCAAGAAACAGTTCTTAGCTCTTGGAGGACTTGCTGGGTTGCATGAGCTGGCATTTAGCAAAATCTTGGGCATGAGCTAGAGACGGCCATGGAGAAAATGATGGGAGTGTGGAGCTGTGACACAGAGCAGCCCAAGCAGATACAGAAGCTGCCTGCCTCCCACTCCTCCCCTGCCCTTCCCAAGAGAAATGCCGCCTGTCCTTACACCTAAAAATTGTGACAGAAACATCAACAGCTGTAAGCTATATCCAGTGATCTGCAAGTTATTTCAGCTATGTCAGCAGGCAGCTCCCAGATTATCTAGCACTGAAGACATAGCAACTGACCGCTAAAATACAATGCACTTTTTCAGGCAGAGCAATGGCCTCCAGCTCTTCAGTCACTACACCATTCTGCTGTATTTGGGAAGGTCTTGGCTCCCTGCCACCCTCTGGGATTAATCCCAGGCGCCTGCTGCAGTGCAAGAAGCACTTTGCTTCCTGCATTCCCAGCTCCTTTGCAGCACGAACACCCTGGCCAAGGGCTTCTACACAGAACCGCTCAAAGGAGAAGGCGGTCACAATGCCACCAGAGCATCCTATAAGGGGAAGGGAGAAAGCAATAGTCAAGCAGTCCGTTCCAGCGGCTCAGTCCCGATTGCTAGCACCCCACACAACTGGGGATAACATGGACAATACAGATTTAGTACAGTGTTTCCCAACCGGTGTTCTGTGGCACACTAGTGTGCCGCGGAACGTTGCCTTGTGTTCCGTGGGAGGGAGGCGGGCGACTCGGGCGGCGAGAGGCGGGGCGGCGGCGGCGAGCACACGCGGGGCGGCGAGCGAGCTCCCTCCCACATCCCATCGCCGCTCGCTTCGGCCGGCCTACTGGAGGAAGGCGCGAAAACCTCGCGCATGCGCAGGCCTTCCGCCTGCGACAGCCCAGTAGGCCGGCCGAAGCGAGCGGCGATGGGATGTGGGAGGGAGCTCGCTCGCCGCCCCGCATGTGCTCGCCGCCGCCGCCCCGCCTCTCGCCGCCCGAGTCGCCCGCCTCCCTCCCACGGAACACCAGCCTACCTCCGTGTGCCTTTGCCCAAAAAAGGTTGGGAAACACTGATTTAGTACACGTGGTAGATATCAGCTACCTCATACAATACAGCACTTGTTCTTTAAAAAGCCCTCACAATTGCAGAGGAAAGCAGGAATGTGCTGATGGTGTCCAGTCAGGTTCCATTTACTACCATGCTTTTAGTCCAGGCATAGGCAAACTTGGCCCTCCAAATGTTTTGGGACTACAATTCCCATCATCCCTGACTACTGCTCCTGTTAGCTAGGGATCATTAATTTTCATAAACACAAGCATAGGCGCCAACTCCTAGAGGCCGAGGGGGCTTCAACCCCCCAATAAAATATTTGAGGGGGCTGAACCCCCCCCCCCGCAGTTGATGGGCATTGCCATTCAAATGGTGTTTGTGTGCTGTGTCATGTGATTGATTATGCAGGGCGGGGCTTACCTGCCCCCCATATTTTATTCAAGTTAGCACCCCTGAACACAAGCAAGCAGGTACACCCTGGCAGAAATGGTCCAGTTCCCTTGAGCAACAAAAATAGCTTCGTAAACTAGAGTGTCTCTCTATGCACTGACTGCAAATAAAAAAACCAAAAAAACAGGAAAGGGGGGGTAGATAAAATCACTATAAATTATTGTGGTGTTTCAAAGGTTTGATTTGAAATCAAGCTGGATTTAAGTTTGTTGTCTCCGGCAACCTCTCTCTTACATCGTGGGTGCTGGCTCATATTATGGACGTATGCTCTGAATTGTTTTACTGGTACTGATGCCGCAGGTTTGTCATAGGTTTTGACTAGAACAATAAACTTCTATTGACTGTTAGATAATTTGCATAATTTAGTTTGGGTGCTTGTGCTTCCTTGGCAAATAATATAGATTAATTGGATTGCATTAGATCTTCTGGTGACAGAGATAGGCAATGTGGTGCCCTCAGGTGCTGTTGGGAATCCAACTCTTGTTGACCCTAGTCAGCATGGTCAATGGTCAGGGGTGATGGAAGTTGTTGTCCAGTAACCTCGTTAAACAAATTCAGGGGGAAACAAAACTTTTGATGAATGACAATTAAAAAATCAAAACGTGGCAGCCTAGTCAAAACATGGTAAAGAGCGAAAAGTGACTACTGAATGAACTAGTGTGTATGACTGTCATTTACACTGGCAAGTCAGGAGGAAGCTTGGCTTACACTGCAGGAGGAAAATCCACAGCGGCTTCCATTTTAATGTTATGGAAGTACCCTATCAGTGCAAGTAAGCCCCATGTTTATTCCTCCTAGATATGTGAAAAGGAAAAGCTACAGATTGCCACAATAAATCCAGCAGAGCACAAAGAGCAGCCATGAGCTGCATCCAGCCATCCCAAAGTACTTCATGTTCCAGAGCCACAAAAGTGAATGGGGGAAAAAAAGAACACTCAGCATGAGAACAAAAGTATCCATGAGGAACACAGTAGAATGCAGCAGCTACATGAGGCCATGGGGGGAACAAATATGGTGGCATGTAGATGTTCTTGGACTGCAACTCCCAACATGTCTGGGTCTGTTGGGAACTGTAGTCCTATACTCCAGCCCTGAGAAGTAGGGCAGGAAGATGCTAGTTTAGCTGGGTCAGGCTGAAGGAGTCAGCAGCACAACTCATTGGAAACCCAACAGATACTGGGAATCCGTATTGACTGTAAGAAAAAAACAGACTACAATTTAGCATGGCCATCCTGTGTGTGCTCCTACACAACAGTGGAGGACCCTGGCCTTGGGCTCTATCTACCAAAGAGAAACTATTAGTCATCAACCACTGCCTCCAAGTCCATAAAAAGTGGCCAGTTTTGGATGCCTAGATGCACAGTCCAAGGAGTAGAGTGAGATTTTTCCACTGATACTTCAAGCACGTATTTAGTTGTTTATATAGGACATAACTATGACATAAGTCAACAGTGACTATTAGGTCATCTTAAACTGGCCAGATTAGAGGCTAGTGGTTGGCTTTAGAAGTGAAAGGCTCTCTGCTTGTAGAAATAAGTAAACAAAGTAAGAGCTATTAACTTCATTAAACTTTTAGGTCTCCAAATACTAGTTTAGTGCTTCAAATACTAGTTTAGGGGCTTTCCACAGGCACCTGGTTGGCCACTGTAAGAACGGGATGGTGGACCAGATGGGCCTTTGGGATAATCCAGCAGAGCTCTTCTTATGTTTTTATCATCAATACAGATGAAAAACGTGGGTGCTCTTATGTGCAATATAGAGAGGGGGTCCCAGAGAGACCTCAGCAGTGCTTCACCTCCTGAAGTGCACAGACAACATCAATTAAAAACGTCAAGGAACTAACAAGGAGGCGTCTTGACATGACATCTTCCAGACAGGGCCAGTCCACTCATGAGGCAAGGAGCAGCAGGTCCCAATGTAGATATTTACTCCTCCCCTTGCTTCTGATGTAGATCTCCACACACCCCTTCTTCCCTGGCAGGGAGTGGGGTGGCATTTTCTGGCTTGCCTTAGGAGCCAAAATACCTTGGGTCAGCCCTACTTCCAGATCATGTTGGACTCCCAACTCCCATCAGCCCCAACCAACATGGTCACTGGTCAGGGGTTTTAGGAGCTGCAGTCCATACGGGAGGCACAACATTGACTATCCCTGCTATGACCCTGTCCTGAATACGAACCCAGCTACTAAGCCCAGAATGCTAATAATTCTGCTTTGTGCTACAAAGCACAGGCTCATTCTCCCAATTGCTCAGTAATATGTCGGTACAGACAGGATGCTCTTCCCAGGCCGCCTCCCGTTGCTTGGCTTCATTCCCAAAAAAGAAGGTACACCAGGAGAAAAATCAGATAGAAGATAAGCAGCGTTTGGTCATTCTCTCTAGACCCGGCATTTCACTGCACAAGCTTGCTGGAGAATCGCATGGCTCTGCAAGGGGTGTAGGGAGGGCATCCCCAGGGAGTTTAGCCAGTGGCTTTAAAGGGATCCTCCAAGAAATGCGCCTTCCCCTTCCAGAGTCCCAGGCTGATCCTGCTTGTTCCTTCTGGCTTGGCCCAGCCCAGGCCGTGCAGAGCGTTACACATAAGTTGGCGCCCACCCAGATCTGCTTCCAGCCATACATACAAGGTATAAAATGCTGGATCGGAGATTTGAGAGAGATCGAGTATCCCTTTCCCCCCCAGCACCCTTTTAACAGACAGCATTTAAGAGAAGGTCGCTGCTCCCCTAGACATTCTTCGACCCTTAACTAAGGACAGAAAGGGAGCCCCTCAAAAACCCTCGTCTCCCTGGACTAAAAAACAAGTAAGATCTCCCTGGCTTCCTCCAAGTTCTTGCAAGTAACGGAGACGCCAAATTCTCCCCCCGGCCAGTCGCTTACCTGGCCTGGTGCCGGAAAGTTCGGGGCAGGGCTGGCGGCGGCGCCGGGGGGTCCCGAGGCCCTGCTGCCAGCAGCGGGAGGGGCTGGAATTAGCAACTCCTAATCGGATTTCAGGAAATCTCCAGCGCCCACAGCCACTTACTTCTGCCAGGCCGGAGTTCCGCTTCTGGTCCGCTCCCTCCTCGGGCAGGCGGGCACCTCCCCACGCCCTGCTACTTGCTCATCGGCCAGGCACGGTCGGAGCTCGGCTGCCGCCCTCCAGGCTCCGCGCGGGGAAGGTGGGGTTTGGCCTGGCAGGATGTGCACGCGGCGGCGGAGGAGGCTCAGATTGAGCCTGGGCGGGCGGGGCAAGGGCGGAGGAGTTAAAGGCGCCGCACAAATCCAGCTCGGGGTCCCTTCCCGCTTCCTTCTGCATTTGGAAGAACTCCCGGGCGTTCGTCATGTTCGGAACAAAAGCCCCTCGAAGGGGCCAAAGCAAAGCCGATCTTCGATTGCCCCGGGCAAACGCCGTAGCTGACCCCCGCCCCACCCCGGCCGGCCGGTGCAAGGCATCGTAAACCTGCCCTGGAAAAGTGCAAGAGTTAGCCTGCAGCCATTCTCGGCCTCTCTTTGGCCCAAGGAGCGGGACAGGACAATTATACGTGAGGGGTCTCTATGCACGGGACCTACCTCCAAAGATCCCGTTGGTTGGTGATAGAGATTTGGGGGAGCCTGAAGTTGTGTGATATTGACCTTGGGCGCCTCACACCCGTAGGGTGCAATTTCAGGAACGGAGACATCGCTCCTCTTGTATCTCAGATCCCATCCTCATAAGCTCCTGTCCTTCCCACTGCCCTCCCATCCCGTCCCAAGTCACTGGTTCTATCATATTGAACAGTTTCTATCGGCAGGCTAACAGCACAAATCTCTGCTGAAAAATAAGGAAGTGGGTGTTTTCCATATCTTATTTTTAGTTACTAGGATTCATATGTAATTTATTGTGCTGTTCAGACTGCTGCCAGGATAATATATTTGGATGTGTTCGTGTTTGGTTAGCATAGGTTTATGTCAGATTCTGATGAGTTTTATGGCTTAGGTATGTTGTGAGCCGCCTCCAGAGGCTTTACCTTGAAAGGCAGCATACAAGTGGTGATGCTGATAATAATTCATTATTATTTGTGTGTGGTTAGTTTTGTCTGTGTTGCAGCAAAAACAGCAACCAAAAATGATAACATTTTTACTACAGCACAAAGCAAGCTTTGGTGAACTAGGCTCCACTTCATCAGATGCAGAGAGTGGTTAGGTACACAGCGATGGAAGCAGTGGCGGGAATGTCAAGACTGAACTTAAATGGCAATGGAGTGTAAAGAGTCTGTGGCAATCAGTTTAAGTGTATGCAAAATGACCCCCAGCAGCAGCAGCAGCAGCAATATTAATAAATAACCTTATAACCAAACCCAGGCATGTATTAACTGAACCAACTGCACATTCTTTCCCCATTTACTTCCGCCTTTATTTCCCCCCTTTCCTTCCTGAGCTCCCTGCTTTCCCTGTGTCAATGCTTGGATTGTAAGCTCCTTAGGGCAAGGGATCTGTCCTTAAATACTGCACATTGATGGCACTCCATAAATGATGAGGATGGTGATGTTTGGAATTTGTTGACAACCGTTTCGAGTTTTTTTCCACAACCAAGCACTGTATACATTTTATCAAAGAAAGAAATAAATAAACATTTCTATGAAGTTAAAATACTCTTAAAATGCGCTGCCCACCCTTTGATCTTGAACGTAACCAAGAATGGGCATTTCAACCTTGCTGAGAATTTCTCCTGTCTTGAAATATGAATGAGTGTTCTTATTAATCTTTACACCCTCTGATTTAAGACTTATGTCTGCTGCTATCCTAATAACCAGGCCTTCCTTCTAAACGTTTGACCTCCATTCAAGCCAGAGAGGCTTTTCCTTGGGCATGTACACATTGCGTGATAATGTGCATACAGTGCTGAATACAGACACATTTTGGGGGCTTCTTCTTGAGCTAAAGGAACGGGTTTAATCCATTTTGTGCCGGGAGTGCACTTCTCAAGCACTGCTGCCATGTACACAGAGAATGTTTTCTTAGGTCGCCTCATGCTGAAATAGACCTCATGATACACTGATTGAAGAACTGCACGTTCACAGGTGTAATGAGGTGTTACTTGGTTCCTGCCAGTGCTTATGGTGGGTGGATAGACTAACTGAGTAGAGCACAGAAGAAAAGATGGATGCACTTTGCTTCGTAAACTCATTCAGTGAGAGCCAGTGTGGTGTAGTGGTTAAGAGTGGTAGACTCGTAATCTGGTGAACCGGGTTTGCGTCTCCGCTCCTCCACATGCAGTTGCTGGGTGACCTTGGGCCAGTCACACTTCTCTGAAGTCTCTCAGCCCCACTCACCTCACAGAGTGTTTGTTGTGGGGGAGGAAGGGAAAGGAGAATGTTAGCCGCTTTGAGACTCATTTGGGTAGTGATAATATCAAATCCAAACTCTTCTCTTCTTCTTCATCCACTTGTATGTACAGACAGCATGGATAGTAACTCCCAATTTTTGGCAGTGTTATTGTGTATGTACAACTGCAAAGCACTTACGTACAAAAACTCTGCAAAAAAAGAGCCCTGTGCATTTCAAACCCCACATGTGTACATAGCCTTGAAGCCCTTTAGTCCATCTGAACACAACTGAGACCCTATGAGAGCTGGGATAATGGTTGAGCAATGGGAGTGCCACAGAGAGAGGAACAATGTGCTTTAAAATGACAATTTATCTGTAGATAGTCATGCTGCCTACAGATAAATTGTCATTTTAAAGCACATTGTTCCTCTCTCCACTCCCATTGCTCAACCATTATCCCAGCTCTCATAGGGTCTCAGTTGTGTTCAGATGGACTAAAGGGTTGCTGACCTTGAGCCAGACATCCTGGAGAGTGAAGTCAAATGGGCCTTAGAAAGCACTGCAAATAACAAGGCTAGTGGAAGTGATGGTATTCCAGCTGAACTATTTAAAATTTTAAAAGATGATGCTGTTAAGGTGCTACACTCAATATGCCAGCAAATTTGGAAAACTCAGCAGTGGCCAGAAGATTGGAGAAGATCAGTCTACATCCCAGTCCCAAAGAAGGGCAGTGCCAAAGAATGCTCCAACTACCGCACAATTGCACTCATTTCACACGCTAGCAAGGTTATGCTTAAAATTCTACAAGGAAGGCTCAAGCAGTATGTGGATCGAGAACTCCCAGTACAAGCTGGATTTAGAAGAGGCAGAGGAACCAGAGACCAAATTGCAAACATTTCTTATGGAGAAAGCTAGAGAGTTCCAGAAAGACATCTACTTCTGCTTCATTGACTATGCAAAAGCCTTTGACTGTGTAGACCACAGCAAACTGTGGCAAGTTCTTAAAGAAATGGGAGTGCCTGATCACCTCATCTGTCTCCTGAGAAATCTCTATGTGGGACAAGAAGCTACAGTTAGAACTGGATATGGAACAACGGATTGGTTCAAAATTGGGAAAGGAGTACGACAAGGCTGTATTTTGTCTCCCTGCTTATTTAATTTATATGCAGAATTCATCATGCGAAAGGCTGGGCTGGATGAATCCCAAGCTGGAATTAAGATTGCCGGAAGAAATATCAACAACCTCAGATATGCAGATGACACAACCTTGATGGCAGAAAGTGAGGAGGAATTAAAGAACCTTTTAATGAGGGTGAAAGAGGAGAGCGCAAAATATGGTCTGAAGCTCAACATCAAAAAAACGAAGATAATGGCCACTGGTCCCATCACCTCCTGGCAAATAGAAGGGAAAGAAATGGAGGCAGTGAGAGATTTTACTTTCTTGGGCTCCATGATCACTGCAGATGGTGACAGCAGCCACGAAATTAAAAGACGCCTGCTTCTTGGGAGAAGGGCAATGACAGGCCTAGACAGCATCTTGAGAAGTAGAGACGTCACCTTGCCAACAAAGGTCCGTATAGTTAAAGCCATGGTTTTCCCAGTAGTGATGTATGGAAGTGAGAGCTGGACCATAAAGAAGGCTGATCGCCGAAGAATTGATGCTTTTGAATTATGGTGCTGGAGAAGACTCTTGAGAGTCCCATGGACTGCAAGAAGATCAAACGCATCCATTCTTAAGGAAATCAGCCCTGAATGCTCACTGGAAGGACAGATCGTGAAGCTGAGGCTCCAGTACTTTGGCCACCTCAGGAGAAGAGAAGACTCCCTGGAGAAGACACTGATGCTGGGAAAGAAGGAGGGCACAAGGAGAAGGGGGCGACAGAGGACGAGATGGTTGGATAGTGTTTTCGAGGTTACCAGCATGAGTTTGACCAAACTGCGGGAAGTAGTGGAGGACAGAGGTGCCTGGCGTGCTCTGGTCCATGGGGTCACGAAGAGTCGGACACGACTAAACAACAACAACAACAGTCATGCTGCCAATCTTCTGCATGCTTACTTGGAAGGGATCTTGGCGTATATGCAGTGGGACCTAGTGCTCCCAGGGAATGTGCATGGGACTGCAATCTCAGTGCATGTCCCTTCTTTAAAATGGAATAAGCACAACATTTATTTCCCTTGTCTTTTCACTGTTGTCATCCCAGCTGGATTTACAATGTATATGTTATTGCAGTTGTGTGTGCATACCCAGCCAGTATTCATTACACTGTTTGGATGCATACATGTCTTTATTGGACGGTAAAAAATCACTGGCAGCATGTCTGGCTGGGTGTGAACAGAGGGATGCTGTGCTGGCCTGTGGTACTAAATCATGCCCAAGAGGAATGTCCAGGCAGGGTGCTGCTCCGTGAGCTGGGGAAGGCAACACCGAGAAATGTGGCTGGGTGAGAGTGGCTTGGGAACTCTCCCTCCCCTATTTGTTTAAGCTCACCTGAATCTTCCATTTTATTTGTTTTCCATGTCGTCTTTGAGCAGATCAATGCACAGTGCCTGGTAACAAGCACAATAGAGATGACAAGGTAACAGGAGCGGGTAGCAACTGGAATGGAGAGAGAGGCAGGTGGCTTCTCAGAGGTATGTTTATCCTGCAGGGTAGGGCAATTTTTTCCTCTCTGGTCATCCATTTTTTGCTTACATGCTACGCTTCTAGTTTTGGCTAGGTGTGACTTACTATGTGCTGCATTGCATCTAACAATTTGCACTCCGTGATTTCTTTCAACTAAGCAGATATAGCCACTGATATTACCACCAAGTGCCAACAACATAACATGCAATGTAAACACTGACAATAAAGCACAAGGGGCTTTTGACTTCCCCCCTCTTTTTTAGAAAAATTCTGCAAACACTGAGGTTCTTCTG